TTAAAGATGAGGACAATGTGTATGCCACGTACTAACCAAGTAACAGCAAGCACCATCCTCCCACAGAAAGCTAGCATTATAACTTTGAGAATAAAAAGCCTAACTTCACCAGCAGTCCCTGCCGCAATCTGTTCTGTTAATACAGAACGCTATTATGTGCTGCTAATCATCCTGCAAGCTTTCTCATCTCCCTCCTTTCCCAATATCACAAGTTTTTGTATTCTAAGTAGGTGTACTAAACTAAGGGCACAGAAGTAGCGATTTTTACCTACTGCTTGTCAGAAGACATTCTGAAATTCAGACACCAACCCCCCACTCCCATATCTCTCCTCTCTTCTTATGACTGTATTCTTGACTTACATCTTGTATTCTTGTTTAAGTTTGGATTATAAACTTCCCAGAGGAGGAAGCATGTCTCTGGAGGTGAAATATTTCAAATAGAAACTAATAATCAACAAAATGACAAGATTTGTCTACACTTTAAGCAGAAAAGGTACACTTTTACTTTTGTCAGTGCAGATGACCCTAAAACACTTCAAGAATCCAGAACAATCACTTCCTCCTGATAAACACAGCAAGTAGAAATGACAAAAGAATCTCAAGGTGGAAGTGCAGGCCCTGGAAATTCTCACATGATGAAGAGATATAATTTATCACACTAGAATTCATCACAAAGATGTGTTTTTGCATTGCTATCATCTCATACAGCTGTCTTTATTAAAGTAAAATTAACCTAAAACATGCAATCAAACCTCATCATTATCAGAAGCAGTAAAAGCAACTTTTAAACCTTTTTTTTCAAAGTTTGGAGGCGTTTTGTTTTGTTGTTGGTTTTTTCTCCTGAAGAACAGGGAGGTCTCAGTACTTCAAACTCTTCTTCACTCATAAACTTAATTCTTTGTCTTGGATACAAGGGTAACAAAAGCCTCTGATCCAATCAACAGACAGGAGAGTTCACCTGAAGTGTCACGAAACAGAACCTGAAGTTATTGCAGTATGCCTGTGAAGAAGTAAAATCATTCTCAAAAAGAGAAGCATGAGAGATTATTGTCAAGTAGGAATGAACAACTGAAGGAATTACTAAAGAGGGAACAATTGGCAATGTTCAGCTAAGCAGACGAGCAGTGGAGGATTATAGAGGACCACAATAAGCAAAAGTCAAATCAATGCTTCCCTCTGTTTTGGCAAAGAGCAACACACAGAACTACAAGACAAGAAAAGTAACCTTTGTATCCTGACCAACAATGGAAATTAGATCTTATGCTCTGCATACAGTTTTTAAACACCTTGCTTCAAAAAAGATCATTGTTTTCCCTGACACACAGAAACAACACACGGAAATGACAAAAGGGAAATGTTTCTACCAGTAAGAACACTGTATCCCTCAAACAGATTGCCTGGGGAGGCTGAGGAATATCTATCAGAAAAACAAACCAAAGAAAAGTATTCAAACAAACATCTGTTTTAGAATCACTGGGAGGAAGGGCTGGGAAAGGATAAGCCTGACAACTTTGAGGTCCTTACAGCTCCACAGTCACTTCCCTCACCAAAGCTCCAGAATTTCAGATATTTATTCTGCCCCCAGGCTGGAATGACAGCTCTACATATCTACTTTTGGATGGAGCGGAAAATCTGTACTTTTTCCCTCCAAACTGCTGGTGCTACAACATGACTACCGATAACTATTTGCTTATTTTTCACATAGAAGATAAATCACAATTAATTTTTATTACTTTTACACTTCTTTTCTTTTCAAAAATGTTTGAAAGGTTACACAATTAATATGCTGTATGAAATTGCACTGGATTTTCTTGGTATGGTACAAGTACTTGATTTTTTGTAATCTCCTTTTAAAAAACACTGCTTTTCACTTAAAGCACCTTATTACACTCATGGAAACATATTACATATCCGTTACCTAGGAGCCAGATTTTAGGTCTCAAAAATGCTGCTGCAGGCTCCTGACAGTACTCTCAGAACCCTACACCACAATATTTTTTTAAAGCTGCCAAACAATATCTGATTCACCAGACACATAAAGATCTAGTTAACATACGAAGTTGACTATAGCAACACCAAAACAAAAGGCAGATTTTGCTACTGTTTGAAAGCACCTGGGTTAGGTAAACTTCTCTTGAATGTTTTGGAACATTCTGACACTAAGCTGACATGACAGGACACTTTGATATAACCAATTATCACTAAGCTCCTGAGAAATAATCCATAAGCTACCTTCAGGATCAGAACCATTTCTCTGTATTACACTTTTCTATAGTATCAACTAACGGCATCATTTAAATATCAAATCTGTTACAACCTTGGATTTTCTTTTGCCTGCTTTTCTTCTATCAAAGAGATATTGACGATGCTACAGCAATACATAAAAATTATAGGGGACTTCAGAATCTGAACAACCACAAACTTTTTAGGTTCTATTTTAGTAATTGTTAAGGACACACACATGCCATGTGGAATTCTCTCTGTTTCCACAGTCACATATTTAGTTACCTGAAATGCTGCATAAGGATTTAGTATGAAAACATCACACTTTAAATTAATCAAATTTGAAAAGCTGTTTTTAAACTACTCAGGATGATTAATGCCATTGGCAGCAGAATTTGTAAGTAATTTTTTCCACCACAACACATGAACATTTAGCAATTTACATGACCATCCACTCTGTCATCCTAGCACAGTACTGCACTCATTACTACGAGCTCATCAATAATTACCTCAATTTCCCATATAAATAAATCATAGTCCTCCTCCACATAAACAGACAGCCAGATGTGGCCTGTATGACAACCAAGGTTCTTGTAAGACCTACTGCATTTTGCACCTTGACAACTGAAATAACTGCCCTGTATTAAATGTGCACAGCCCCACTACAAGCACTTCGGGACATTCCCCTGATAAGCTGCATAGTGAGTTTGAACCCAGGCTATCAAAACCACAGAAGCTGAAGTTCCAGCCTCTGGTTCAGGTCAGTGTATTCTTTAGGGACAAACACAGTATGTCGATGGATGCTCTGAACAGAAGGCTAAGATGAGCTTGTTGTCCCTCTCTAGTAGTCTAGGTTTATCTGCTTATTCCACATTTGAAGTTGTTTCTGTAACTTGAGCATTTATTTCATGGTATTACCTGAAGCCTTTAAACACATTTTCCAACTGAAATAAATGCAAAGTAGCTCTCTAGAACCTGTCAAAATACACTACTAAACATATAGATACAGTATTGCTGAAGTACCATTGTAACTGAAGTGGGCTCTACTGGACTTACAGACATATCCACTAACATGCAAGGGGGTTATTACTGTATCAGTGAATTAAAAGAATTAGAACTAATTTGTTACCCATACTTTGGTCAAAATATTATTCAAAATACTATTAGGACAAACCTTGACAGAATGGTAAGTTTTATGGTCACAGCTTCAAATGACATCCACACCTCCAATTACCTCAGATGCCAAATGAACATGACTCACCCTGCAAATCACCTGTCTGCCCCCCAAACAGCCCCTACTGTGGTACAGCACAGTAATACTTTTGGTATTCTTCCTAAGAATCCAAAAATCAAAACAAACACAGCTCAACAAATAATACAGGCCACCAGGGAGATTTCTGTGCAAAAATGGTAGCAATGCCAGCTCAACTCTTTGCAACAAATACCCATTACAGTGTTTGTGGAAGTCATCCAATACATTCTATTGATGTTTTTCACTTGCTACGCTAAACTACTTTTGCGAAGGCACACATCTTCATAGGATCAGTTGTCTTAACAAGGCAACAAATCATAAGTGTTTCTTATTTAGATGACTTTTGATGTGTCAAGAACTCTTGCACCTTACTACATTGCAATTCACTATATCGGCAAAGGAAACTTTAAAAGCAGGCCTATTTCACAGAAATTTCCTGATCTTACTTTTCAATGCAACTTCAAAATAAAGACTTTTGTGTACAACTTTTTTCCAGACTTCTTTCTTTCTTATTGGGTGAGAGAAAAATAAATTCTGTGAGAGCCTGACTCAGCTACAAGAAAATTAATTTTATTACATACATTTGCTTACACAATTTTAAATACGCATACTTCTTCCAAATGAAATTTCAATCTGTAAGTATATATTCTTCATTTCTGCATTGAAGATAAAACTAACAGTCTGACACCACTCTTCATCACTACAGTACACATTTCTTTTCTAGATAGTGTGGCAAAAATCCAATCAAAAGTCATTCTTCTAAACTGCTTAACTGGGTGCACAGACAACTGCAAATCAAGAACTACACTGAAAAAAAAAAGTGCTGAATATGGTACAGCATAGAAAAAGGACCTAAACACAACCTCTAAGCTTTCTAACACAGTAAAGTGTAAAGTACACAGTCTCTAAACTTAGAATAAACTTTCTAAGTCTTTGTGCACCACGGAGATCCACATGCTATGCAACTCAACTATTTCAGTGTTAACTGACCAACAGTACCCAACAAAGCCCTTGTGCAGTGCAGGGCATCCTGAGAACACTCAGCTCCACCGCAGCCAACACTGCTCCCCACAAACATTCAAGAGAACTTCTAGTAAGTTCACTCCAGGTGCAAAACCCTTTCCGGGCAGTATAACTACAGGTTAATTAATTTCACTCGTGCAAAAGAAAAGGCACATCAACTACAAGCACTGACAAATCTTCCCTGGATTCTGGGCCCACGTTCCCCTTGACCCTGAGCTCGGGGGTTGCTCTGCTGGCTCGGACCTCCTCTCCTCCAGCGAAGAGAGAGGTGCGAGTGTTCCACAGCCTCGCAGAAGCGAAGTTAGCGATGTCACTTCGCCGGGGACTCTCCTCCCACCCGCGGCTGCTCGGGTGGCACAACGCAGACCCCGCAGGGACCTCCCCTTTTCCCGGCGCACTGAGTCACCGCCGCGCTGCCGCGGGAGAAAAACTACCAAACACAACAAAAAAACCCCAGCCAAACAAGAACAAACCAGACCAACAACGAAGAAGGGACATTAACTGCAAGCTCCTTGCCGCCGAAGGCCTGTCCGTGTTTGCCCGGCCGTTGCTTGCCCCGCACCCACAGACAGCCGCGGCCACTCGCGAGGCCACCACGGCCCGCCGCGGCCCTCTCGACACACCGGCTGAGGCGCCCGCCCTCAGGCCGTCCGGGAGGGAAGGAGCAAGGCGGCTGCTCCACAGCACAAGCACTGTCCCTAGGACCAGCAACGTCCCCGTCCCGCCCCGTTTCGTGGGCGCCCCGCGGGGCCGGGGCCGCACTCACCCCGCCCGCTCCTGCCGCCGCCTCCCGGCCAATCGCGCCGCCAGCAGCGCCGCGCCGGCCAATCCCGAGCCAGGCCGCGCGGGCAGCGACCAATCCCGAGTGGGGGCGGGCCCGGAGCGGCGCGGGCCGCGCGGCGCCCTCAGCCGCCGGCGGGGCTGGCCGTGGTTCAGCTGCTCCCGCCCTGCCCGCGGCAAGACGGGTGAGAGAACCGAAAGGGTGGAAGCTGCAAAACTCAGGCATTGGGATATGGACAGTTTATAACAGGGAGAGCAAAAGGCACGCACACAAGCAAACCAACACAAGGAATGAATTCCGTGCTCCCCGCTGCTGAGCAGGTGTTCAGCCTTTTCCAGCAGGGCATAGCCCCATCACACTTAGCTTGATTTGGGAGGACAAATACCATCAGTCCAAACATCCCATCCTTCCTTCTTCTCGGCACGTTTTACTGACCGTGATGCCATATGGTCTGGAATATCCCTTTAGTCAGTTTGGGGTCACCTATTCTGGCTGTGTCCCCTCCCAGCCTCCCAGGCACCCCAAGATCTTTCCCCAGTGAGGTGGTGGGAAAAGCAGAAAAGGTTCTGTGCAATCCCTGCTCAGCAATAACAAAAAACATCTCTGAATGACCACCTCTGTTCAGCACAAAACCAAATCACAGCCTTATACTAGATGAAGAAAACTACCTGAACACCAGTAAAATACAGCACAGACGACTATTAATTTTTAATAATATCAATCATCAGTCTGGGAAATCTCTCAATGTCAACTTTGTGTGAAATATTTCAATTAAGATAATCTGACATTGTTTGACACTGTTATCTGCACAAGTATTCCTACCCTCTGTTCCAAGGATAAACAAAATCACTTCCTGGAAAATAGAAAAAGAAAAAAGTGTTAGATGATGGCACTCTAACCTACTTCCATCTACAGCAAAAGTTTTTTTGGCTGTCAGTATTACCATGCTGGGTACACTTTAAATGGCTAGGAGTGAATAATTTAGGAATGCCAATATCTACCTATGGAAAGATGACAACCATGAAAGAGAACAAACTTTATCCCCAAAGAAGAAAACAAGTGATCACTGGGCCTAAAGAAATATGACTTCTCTTAATGTAGTCCATATTCATGCTGCCACTCCGCAAAAAGAGTAAAAGAATTAAACTCCTCTCTTTGTCCCTTACATTATCAGTTCAGATCTCATTTTTACTCATGTTACTCTTCTGTGTTTTCTGTCATTATTTTTTACGTCCCTCCAGTTTAAGCAAGAGAAGTGACAGGATGCACTGCAATTTATTTCTAGTGTTCTAATACTTTGGCCAGTATGTGCAATGCCAGCTGCCATCCTCCTGAATGGCTAATTGGGAAATTCATGCTCCACAGAAATCCTGACTTAGTTTTCTTTCTCCTGTATATAGCTGCTAATTTTTTGCAGAACTTACTTACAAAAGTCTGTGTCTGTTGAAGATGGTCACCTGACTAATAGGGATGAATAAGAAGCAGAGGAATTCAATGACTTCTTTTTTTTGCTTCACTCTTTAGTAAACTGACAGGCCTTTTAGTAAACCGTGTGGCCTGGTCCCCTGAGCCATCAGTGCGAGAACAGTCATATTCTGATCCTGGACACTAAAATTGTAATGGACGGTCTATTTAAGGTAAATGTTCACAAAACCATGGAGTCTGGTGTGATTATCACACGGTATCAGTAGAACTGGTGGATATTATGGCATGACCCCTTTTGACCATCTAAAAAGTCTTGGATGACCAGGGAGGTCCCCACTGACTGGAAGTTAGCTGTGATTTTCCAACATAGTTTTACCCAAAAAGGTGTGAGGGATGACTCAGGGAATGACAGACCTGTGGGTTTAAGGACTGGGGAAGTTAGGGAGAAGAACATACTGGATACCACAGAAAGACAGTCAAAGAGCAATACAATCTTCAGGCGCAGTCAACATGGAAAGGGAAACTCTTGCTTAACTAATTTTTATCCTTCTAGGCTAAGGTCACCTGCCCAGAGGATGAATGGAAGGCTTCATTAAAAGTGTGTGTTGGGTTTTTCGGATTTTAATAAGGCTTTGACACTGTCCCTTATAACATCCTTTTGGAAAGGTTGTACAAAGAGAAGGTACAAGCTGCACTGGTAAAGGGCTGTTGTGAATGTGCCTGACTAGCTGCTGGTACTGTTCCTCAGGGCTCAGTTGTAGAGCCAGATTTATTCCATGTTTTTATCAATTATCTTGATACAGGAATTGACAGATTTGCTGATGATACTAAACTGAGACCCCTGGATCAGGCAACACCAGGCACAAGCCTGAAATGGGAGAGGATTGGCAGCAGCTCTGCAGAAGGGATCTGGGTGTGCTGGTGGACAGCAGGCTCCACCTCAGTCAGCAGGAGAGCAAACCCCATCCTGGGGCACATCAGATACAGCGCAGCCCAACAGCCAACACAGGGGATTGTCCTACTGTAATTACTGTTGGTGAGGCCTTCCCTTCCCTTCCCTTCCCTTCCCTTCCCTTCCCTTCCCTTCCCTTCCCTTCCCTTCCCTT